GGTTTTTAGCTCCACCGTATCCAGCAGTTCCAATTTTCTAAAATTTTACTTTTACACTTTCACCGTCCTTTCTCCCAAACAAATCTATATTTCGAAAGTCTTGGTATGCAATTTTCTTGGTTTTTGCGATACCTTTCGATTGATGTATCACTCGTTACCATAATTGCAGATTTTCAATTCTGCGGCTATATATAGTAGTTGTCTTCGCACGCTCTCTTGCGCGCTTCGCCACTATGTGTACTGCCGTTCACAGTGATAGTCGTCCGATTTTGGTAAAATTAAGTTCGAAATTCAGAACTAATCAAAAAATGTTATTTTCAAGCTTAGGAGGTTATATGTTAACAAACATCGAAGCTATAATTTGTTTCATATTATTTTCCCACCAATTTTCCGATCTTTCCTATGGCAGCTATAAGATATAGTCGTCCGATTTTGATAAAATTTTATTCAAAATGCAAAACGAATTAAAAAATATTGTTTCCAAGCTTAGGAGGTTATATGTTAAAAAACACCGAAGCTATAATTTGTAAATGGAATTGTTGCGCGTCCATGAGTCGGTCAGCTGGCCTCCGTGCCCCGAAATATAAATAGACCACCATTGGGGGCGATTTGAGTAATGTTTTGTGGACGCGTCCGCTCCTCTGACCCGGGGTCCCAGTCATGAACGCTAATGCACTTGAAATAATACCCTCACTTGGCACATTGCCGTCACTTGAGAGCCAAATTGTTGTAGGGTGTCCGTGTGAGAAATTCAAAACTTTTAGGTTGAGCAATTTAATAAGGGCCGTTCCAGGAATTTCTTTGTTTGATTTGTGATTCCGAAAGCCAACAAGGGCTTCCCACCCGGCCATGCAATTATTGTAACAGGAATTTAATTAAAATTTAACAAGTTGCCGGCCCAGAAGGCTTCCCCGGCATCCGCCACTTATCTTGACGGGCACACATGCTCGCTTTATAGTTGGCTCACTCGGCCTGGCTGGCTGCCTGCTGCCCGCTCCTCCAATTAGCAGGGAGTCAACAACTTATTAACTTGGCAGGGAATCGGAATTCAGTATTCTGCGACTTTCGGCCTGTCCACCGCAGCTGGAACTCCGCTGGCAAGTGGGGCGTCACGTGCCAACTGCCTGTAGCCGTAAGAAAGCCCCATAAGAGGCTTACAGATATAATCATACGCACCGAACTAAGCCCTGGGTCGGGGGGATGGCAACCCCGTCACCGGGACGGCTGTTGACCTACTGGAGTCGATGGTGGTGATGTAATGTCATCTTGGTCCCGCTGGAGCAGAAGTGCAAAGGTCGTGTTGATACGGCGCCTTTGACGGCTGGCAGACATGCTCTAGTGCAGGTATGACACCATTCCGGAATGCAGCCAAAGCGCACTCGGGTTTAATCGAATGGGGCGAATGGGGCCGTCATGCGGGGGGTCGCGACCACTAGTTAGCTCACAGGGCGGTACACAAAGTCAAATGTTAATTAATTAAGAGCGGATTTGTCGCCATATCCCCGGAATGTTAGTTGGGGGAGAATGGGCTTCCAGAACCTGCCCGATGTCTTCGGCTATGCATACCACTTGGGGTTCGCCTCTTCCGTGCAATAAACAAATTTTTTCTCAAAAATATCCAAGTCTTCTCAGCAGTATCTCCTCCGGGGCTTATTGGTGTTGCTCTGCGCCACTGGAGTTGCAGTCCCGATCCGAAAAGGCACTTGGTCAAAGTTTTATTGCCACCTTATGTACAGACGTTAAAATAATGTTGCCAAATATTGCGCTTGAGTGTTTCGAGGCGCCAACATTGTTTACTCGGGGTGGAGGATGTTTCCGCGCGCGAAACTTTGAATGAGTACGCATGCCGGATAATGATAAGGATAACGAAGATAACGAAGCCGGGGAGGGAGGAAGTTGGGGATTGCTCCTCGCTGTCCCAGCTAAGCTCCGTGTGCTTCTGCGCGCTCCTTTGGTGTCGAGCGGATTTACTTTCAACCAGGATGGAGAAGTCACGAATCGAAACTCAAACAAAAGCCGGAGGAGACTTAGAAATGATACAGCAGACTCTCTGTGGCACTGGGACACAGGGACATCAACGTGTCGACACAGAAGGAAATCGAAATGTACTTTGTGGAAGCTGGGATGTTGGGCGCGATGAAGCTGGGCCGCGGATGTGTTGTTTGTTAAGCGATTTTTAAATCGTTTGGCAACCGCGCTGGCAGCACTCACACTAATCGCATTAGCGAGCAGGGACCTCCAGCGAGGGTTTGGTTCGGGATTTTGGGGGAAATGGGGAAGGGGGATACGCACGGAAACTTGGCATACAAAAGTTTGGCGCGTAAGGATTTAGAATTACGTTTATAAGTATATGTAGTCTCCTTACAACTACTTGCCAGCGATGGCCGTGCTCCGGCGTTAAGCTATTGATGCTGTGTTTCTAGGAAACCCCGACCCTCATGCAGAAAAAAATTCAAAGTCTATTTACATTTTCTGCGTAAATTGGAATCCTCGACTTTTTTTCGCGCTATAATAAAGGAACATATTAAAAGACATTCAGCAAAATAGTTTAAATACGAATAACTTACACATGATGTATAGTTTTATTATAAATTTCATAAAATTATTCAAAGTAACGGGGATTCTATTCGGCAGTATGGCAAATCCACAATAGCAACTAGGGAATTTTTATATTTTTCTAAAATCAATAAAATGTTAAATTCTACCAAACCACTGGCTCGATTCGATGAATTATACGTTAAAATAATCAGGAAATAAATACCAATTAGGGGGTGCATACATATCACAATAAAGATTTGATATAAAAAATATATATTTTTGAATATTTGGCGGCCAAAAGTATTCGATTGGCTCATTAAGTGCTGTAGGTCGTAGCCTGGCACTTGGCGATATATCGATAAATAAATGTCTTGGCTGAATTCGCTTTCTCGCTGGTCTGGACAGTGTGACCGCGTGCGAATATCCATAATTGAAAATACTTGCTTTTCTCGAAAACTGTGGGTTTTAATTGCCTGTAATTAACTCAGAAATGAGCTAAAATGATGCCCCTTTGAATGCGATACCGTGCAAGATGGCACAACCTCTGTGAGAGTTGTATGAATTAATTAAAGTTTGCATATAATATTTATAATAGTTTGCATAAAATATCTATATTTTGATGGTTGATGTCACGGGTGCATACGATTTCTCGCTGGTTTGGAATGTGTGACCGCGTGCGAATAGCCATAATTGAAAATACTTGAATTTCTCAAAAACTGTGGGTTTTATTCAGAAATTAGCTAAAATGATGCCCCTTCGAATGCGGTACCGTGCAAGTTGGAAAAACCTCTGTGAAAGTTGTATAAAGTTATAGAAAGTTAGCGTCGAACGATTGTCATGGCTAAGCTATTTACATTGTGGTTCATGTCTTAGTATTCAATGGTTCAGTTTCTGGATTAAACGGCCTTTTATTAACCTTTTAAACACCTTCAACTGTAAAGCAATTTTCTCAAAATCTATGGGTTTGATTTTGATAAAATTTTCACAGAACACTCCTTAGATTATCCCCTTTCTACCCATGTACCGTGCATGTTGGCACAGCCTCTAGGAGTGGAGCCGTAGGTAATTTCATTGTTGCCCCCCTTTTTTGTATGGGGAAAATCCGAGGTTGCGTCACTGTTAGGCTATTTTCTCGAAAACTGTGGGTTTGATTTGGATGAAACTTTCAGACAAGGAGCTTGAACTAACCCTCAATAGCTTGGCTTATCGTGTATATTGGCACAACCTCTGTGAGGGGAGCAGTTAACAAAATTGTGGGGACACGATTTTTCAAATGCATTTTTGAAACATTAAAAGACCTAGATCGATAGATCTTTTCTTTCTTAACAATCTAGCATTTTAGATTTTTCGATTTGGTCCCCAAATAGGGAGAAAATTTAAAAATAAAAAGAGCCCCCATGTTCCAAATTCCACCGTTCCACTTTCGTTGCTAACAGGCCGACGCTAATTTGACAGACATGATATTTTCATTCTTGAGAAATAAAAAGCTCCCGCGAATCGGGATGGATGCCACACTTTCAGCTTGCCTTTATCGAAGTACCGATATAGGGTATCGATATAAGGTTAATGCAATTACAATTTTGGAACAAATGAGATGCCCACAACGCACTATGCGTTTTTCTCAAAAACGGACTGCTTTTGTTCGCCGTACAGCATTAGGTTATTAGTAAAATGAATTTCCTTTCCAACGAGGTATCGTCCATGTTGGTACAACGTCTGTGAAAGTCAAATTAATTAAAAATAGAGATAGCGTCGAAACATATTTTAATCCCTCATGGTTAGCGTCCTCAATACATTTTGTACATAGTGGTTCATGCCTTGAAACTGTCTGGTTCCAATTTATATCTGACGGCACTTCTTTTAATTATTTATCTTCCCCCACTGTAAAGCGATTTTCTCAAAAACTGACGGCTTTACCTCTATGATTTTTCACTGAACTGCCAATATTCCGTGCATGTTGGTACAACGTCTGAGATTGGAGCCCTGTGCAATTTAATATTTGCCCCCATTTTTTGTATGGGAATCCGAGGTGAATTCACTGTTAAGCCATTTTCTCAAAAACTGACGGCTTTAGCTCAATGATACTTTCTGGCAAGAAGCTTGAATTAACGCCCAATAACCAGCTTTACCGTGCATATCGGTACAACCTCTGTGAGGGGAGCAATAAACAAAATTGAGTGGACCCGATTTTTTAAATAGATTTTTAATAGATTTCTAGAAGTCGGATATGGTTGCAAACTATCTAGATCGATAGATATTTTTATTCTAAACAACTCTGCATTTAATATTTTTAGATTCGGATCCAAGAAGCCGAGAAAATAAAAAAAACAAATTGGCCCCATGTTCCAGTTCCACCGTTCCGCCATCGCCGCTAAGTCACCGACGCTAATTTGACGGACATTTGTATATTTTAGTATATTTTTGACGGATAAATAGTATTTTTAGATTTGTCCGGCGCGGTCACGCTGCTATTCAGTGTACGTGGATTTATATATCACGGTCCAAACACAATACAGTCCACAGAAGTTTCATCTAAAGCGACCCAGGCAGTCGTTAGAAAGGTCTCACCAGCGACTCACTTAGATGTGTCTGCTCCGCATCCAGAGCTGATAAACTTGAGTCCACCCAATCTCCTGCCTTTTGCCTGTGTCCGGTCGGTCGATTGTAATATACTATTGATATTATGGCCCATTCCCGCTGCCCCAGCGACGGCCTATTGGCACGTGTGAACTTCCCACTATACGCCGTGGACATGCTTACCAGCCGCCACATACTAGTGGCCGGAGGCGGTGGTTCCAGCAAGACGGGAGTGGCGAATGGCTTTGTATGAAATGCCCGCAACACGAATCTTAATGTCCGTGGTCCTAATGCCCGCCTCATCTTTTCAGGAGATCTACGAACTGTACCACAACGGGACCCACTTTTGCGCGGAGGAGGTGCTACGCCACGAGACGGGCTCAAACGTAGTTATGAACTTCGCACTGCGCATCGGTGGCAGGAGGGGCTACTTGTGCGCCGGCCAGGAGGCGCACTGTCAAATGTACTATATCCAGCCGCGCGTTTTGTCTGAGGATAAGGGGCATGGAAACGGAGTCAGCGACGAAAAGCCCGCCCCGGCAGACTGGTCCCACGGAAGAGGCAATTTGCGACAGCGAAACGCCCATTCTGGAGTGGAGTCAGTAACCAACGGGAATAAGCACCCCCTCTCAACCGCAGACATATTGCGGCAGTCCCAGCAGTTGCTCTTCGACATACAAGCGGCGGATGTGGTGCAGACTGACTTCCTTAAGGGCGCCGAGCCTCTGCAGCGAGTGGTGCGCATTAGTGGTAACGGTCAGCTAATGGCCACTGGCGGCACCGACGGACACCTGCGGGTATGGACTTTCCCCCAGATGACCTTAGCCGCCAAGTTGGCAGCGCACAGCAAGGAGATCGACGACCTGGACTTTAGCCCCGACAGCAAGGTCATAATCAGCATCTCCAAGGATGCCCAGGGCGTAGTGTGGGAACTGGCCAGCGGCCATATTCAACACAAGCTTCAGTGGAAAACGCCCGAAGGGGCCAAGTACCTGTTCAAGCGGTGCCGCTATGGGACTGTGGAAGCGCAGAAGAACAACTATCGCCTCTTTACCATTGCAAATCCACTGGGTAAGGTGGGAAAGCAGCGTGGATTCCTGCAGCACTGGGACTGTGCAAGCGGGCAACTTCGTCAGGCGGTTGCCATCGAAGAAAGCCTGTCATCCCTGGCGGTGCGGGACGACGGTCGGTTCGTGGCTGTCGGCACGATGTTCTCAGGAAGCGTTTCCATGTACATAGCATTTAGTTTGCAGGTAACCCTAATTGCTGTGTTGACAAACATACTAGTAAAATGCACACACACATACATTGCGGAAAAATCATTCTTAGACGTGCCGCAACTAGCTTACCTATAAAAGTATAGACATTTTACACCCCCTTTGCAGCGCGTGCTCCATATTCCCAATGCACACTCTATGTTCGTAACGGGTATTCAGTTTCTGCCTATAACAAACGAGGCGGGGCCGCCAATCTCCAGCGACACAGAGGCAGCCGTTCTTTCCATTTCCGTGGACAACAAAGTCTGCATACACAGTCTGCCCCAAAGGCGTAAGCAATAATATGTTAGCTTTAAAATTATTTTACTAACTCCTTTTTTCAGGTATAATCCCCGCCTGGATGGCTATTGCCTTTTTGATCGTCATGATTTTTGCCGCTTTTGTGCTATGCTCCTTTATTGGCATCTGATGTTTAATGGTCCAAAGAGAGTTAATCAACATGCATTATTAGTTTGTAATCAAGGTTTAGTTTAACAAGCTTCACGTCCCTTCGTCCCTCCGGCATCATTTTATTTACTTAATTTACAAATGTAACAAAACGATACCGGATGCCACCGCAACTGCAGATTTAACTTTATGGTTTTTAAAAAATAGCTATGATAATTCTTATCAATATTTCAATCATCGATACAGGCCACCAGCAACGCATATATCAGGAAAAGGTAGCGTCCTATTTTTTTGCTCCTTTTTTACTAATCATAATACATGAGCCGTTTCTGGATTAACCCTAGTTTTTCTTAGGACCCCCCACAATTACAGGTTATAATGCAATCCATGCACTGCGGTGACTATTTGAAAAACGTTTGTGAAACTTACTCTTCATTGATTTTCTGATGTCTGGTCCAAATGTCAAACAGTTTTTTTAAGTGCAATACTGTTTGCGATTTCATTATATTTTAAAGACTATACGGACGCATATAAAACAAAATGTACATATATATTTTCGGATCCTTTTCTAAAATCACATTGCCTTATAAAAACCACTCCTAGCTAAAAACTGTAAATTGCGTCTCATTTATTTTTAAAGAAAAATAGTTGGTTTGTTCGCAGTTTCAATACTATATAAAATTGTATATTTTAGTATAGATAGATAGATAGTATAGATATAGACGACAAAATACAGTAATTTTTCGTTAATTTTTTGATTTAAAAAGCCATAGGTGCTCTTCCTTGAAATGGTGTTTTGGCTTTATAGTTTCTACATAATCGATAAAGACAAGTTTAAAAATTCAATTCAATATACTTACCATAAGAAAGGTCCCTAAAAACGACAAGAAGCGCCTGGAGCAAAAAAAAAAAATCTTAAAAAAAGAACAAACCCGAAAATAATTTGAAGACGCTTGCTAAATGTAAAATGGGTACAATGGGCGACACCAAACTGCCCCAAAATTAAATTTTTTTTTCCTTAAGGCATAACCGCAAAAACAAGAATAATTTTTTTTATTTAAGCCTCTTTTAACAAGTCTTAATTTGTCCCTATTCATCTTTGTCTCACTCCTTAGCATATAGAAATAGCCAAGCCGTAAGGTGTGGCACATACTAGCAAAATACCATAAGTAGTATTAGAAGGGGATTTCTTTGTTTAACCATCTTGCGATACTGGTATTGGTTTCTTTTTATTTAAATAAATTTATTTAACGGAAAATTAAAAAGGGGATTTATTTAACAAAGAAAGGGAACGAATTAATCTAAGCTAGATGGAAAATTAATGAAAATAAGAATACTGAAAGAAGATATCCGTGCGTGTGTGTATATATATATATATGCAAAAAAAAAAATTATTTTTTTGTTCCTAAATTCAAATTCCACCCATTTACAGGGGTGGTCAAAAGATTTTACACAAAGCAGAAGTTACATATTCTTATAATTTGATCTTAATTTTCTACGTATTGGCATCAATGGAAGATATAAGACTTTTCATTCAGTACTTATTAAAAATGCCGAACTTATGTAAAAATCTACTTTTTAAACTCTTCCACTTTTTAAAAACTAATATTACTTGATGCTAAAAGTATTTTCTAAAAAAAAACTAATAGTAACTGCAAAAAGAATTTTTCAATAATCGTTTTGCTTACATCTTGTATGGTTTTTTGAAAATGTATAGAAATTTGCATTCCAGCCATATTTTTTTCTTTAAACTTAATTTAATTAATTACATCCTTAAAAAGCTTAAGTTTATTTTTAAGTATCGATCATTTATTAAAGGTTTATAGATTTTTGTTATTTTGAATCGCAATTTACTGCATCATGCCAGATAGGAAGAGGAGTGGGGAAGGGAGGTAAGAGCAAGCTTCTAAAGCAGTGCCCAGTCGTTCTTTCATTATGATATGGTCACCAAAAAGGTGTTCCGAAAGTGATGACCCTGTCCATTCCGGTGCGGGACAAAAACAAGGTACCCGTTGCATGCATCTAAATGCACCAACTGAACACATTCTGTACGCACTCTTTTTTAATGCAATAAATGAATTCTGTAATGATTAATTTAGAATGTCCCTGTAAGCTGTTCCCAGGAATGCACCCGAATCGCTCTCCTGCGGTACGACTCTTGGTTCGGTGTTTGCATATTTTATTGCGCCCTTCCATTTGTAAATTCTTTTTTACGATTCTGCTAGATAAAAGCATATATAAAACTATTAGGTTTGGTCAACAATTAATTCGCTGATGAGCAACCAAATAAAGTAATTTATGAAATATAAATTGTTGGTCCTGAAGCCTCTTTACCAAGTCAGGTTTTTTTTTTATAAGTGCTTATTGCAGACATGTTGAAAATGCCTTAAATAAAATATACATTTTTTCGCCTGCGAGTTACATTAAAAGCATGCTTATAACTCAAAACTTCAATACATTTAAAGGGCAAAGCATACTTTTAAGTTAACATGCGCAAGTGCAAAAGATCCAACCTTGCAGTAGAAGAGGGCGGACGTGACTCGTGCGAGCTCCGGGAAAAGTGAAAGAAAGTTGATGAATTAAATGCAAACAAATCACAAAACTAAACTGGTGAATTTCAAAAAAGCGAAAAGATGGTAAAACACAAAGATAAAACAAATTGAGCTTTGAACTCACAAAATTAGTGTAATGACTTAAACAAGTGCATAATTATTATACCCGTTACTCGTAGAGTAAAAGGGTATACTAGATTCGTCGGAAAGTATGTAACAGGCAGAAGGAAGCGTTTCCGACCCCATAAAGTATATATATTCTTGATCAGGATCACTAGCCGAGTCGATCTAGCCATGTCCGTCTGTCCGTCTGTCCGTATGAACGCTGAGATCTCGGAAACTATGAGAGTTACAATACTGGGATTAGGCACGCAGATTCCTGAGATTCCTGCGCAGCGCAAGTTTGTTTCAGTAGAGTGCCACGCCCACTCTAACGCCCACAAACCGCCCAAAACTGTGGCTCCTACAGTTTTGATGCTAGAATAAAAATTTTAACTGAAATGTAATGTTCTCATCAATACCTATCGATTGACCCGAAAAAAAGGTTGCCACGCCCACTTGAACGCCCACAAACCGCGAAAACCTGTGACGCCCACAATTTTCATGCTAGATAAAAAATTTTAACTGAAATGTATTGGTCTCGTCAATACCTATCGATTGATCCAAATTTCATCCAATATTTTGCCACGCCCACTCTAACGCCCACAAACCGCGAAAACCTGTGACGCCCAAAATTTTTATGCTAGATAAAAAATTTTAACTGAAATGTATTGGTCTCGACAATACCTACCGATTGGTCAAAAAAAAAATTTGCCACGCCCACTCTAACGCCCTTAACGCTTAAATCTGTATACCGCCGGTAGGTGGCGCCTTTTAATCTCGCTTTGCTGCTTGCATATCTCCATTTAGCTGAGTAACGGGTATCTGATAGTCGAGGTACTCGACTATAGCGTTCTTCCTTGTTTTATTATAACAAATAAGTGCCACGCTAAAAAAGCTCAATGAGCAACGAACAAAATAAAGAGGGACTTCGCTCCGCGAGCCGAGGAGACGGTTACTTCTCGTATGTCTCAACGCCGGATAGCGAAGTGCAAAATACGACCCTACTGACGGTCAATAGCCAAAGAGCACGACTTTGCTCACCATGCCTATTTACTGTTACTCCTTCTCCGACGCCGTGGAGTTCTCAAAACCACCCCACCATCATTTTGGACCCCTTGCGCACCAACAACATGCAGCTGTAAAACTTCTGCAACCGCACTAAATGTATCAGCAAAAATTATAGATACGGCAACAAAACCACCAACAACAAGCACAGCTACGGCTATTATTTCGGAATCTACTGCAATGTCGTCGACCGCAGCGCTAAATACAACGGCAACAAAAACGACGACAACAAATCAAAACCAAAACAAAATTCCGCAAGCGGGCCCGGCCATACAGACCGAGGTAGATAACAAGCCAAAAATAATCCGTGTCCAAATAGACAATAAATTACCAGGGAAATGTAACAGTAATAGATGTTCGCTTCTAACAGAAAATTAACCAGAATGGGCTCAAGAGACCCAACCGAAACCTAAGCCCCAACCAATTTACATTAGGGAGAAAGTCTCGAGTGCCTTGGTCAACAAAATTGTTGCGCTGACCGGGGACGAAAACTTTCATGTTGTTCCGGTCACAAAAGGGGATATCCATGAAACCAAGCTTCAGACCAAATCTGAAGAACATTTCCGAGCAGTATCCAAATACCTGGAGGAAGCTAGGAAAAGCTACTACACGTACCAACTAAAAAGCAGCAAGGGCCTGCAAGTGGTACTAAAAGGAATCGAGCGCGACGTGACCGCCAAGGAAGTTATCGGTGCTCTCAAGGAAAAAGGGTTTTCTGCAAAGAACGTTAGTAACATTATAAACAGGAATAAAGAGCCGCAACCACTCTTGAGGGTCGAACTTTAGCCAGCAGAGTCTTGAAGAAAAATGAAGTGCACTTCCACAATTCGGCTAACTGCCCTGCCAACAAAGAAGAAAAAAATGCGTTAACTGCCAAGGTAACCACACGGCAAACTACAGGGGCTGTCCGATCTACAAGGAGATGAAGGACCGCATGCGGAAAGTAAAAGCAACGCTCAACAGAATACCCAAAATGCGTACACTTACTCGCATACGACGCCGGAAGTACTTTTCGGCACGGCTGCAAGATCCTCATTTGGTCAACTAAAAACCCAGAAGAGCTTTTCATACGCCGATACCCTTCGATCAGGGACGGAAAACCCACTCCAGTCTAATCTAGGAAACGCTCAGCAGATCCAAGTACAGTCACAAAGCAATCCGGAATCTATGATGGTCACCATGCAACAAAGGACGATGGAATTCTTGTCATTCATGAAAACGACCATGCAAATACTGGTTCAAAACCAGAACATGGTGTTACAGCTACTTGCAGATAAATAGTCCAAATAACAGATGGCAAATCTAAGAATAACAATGTGGAACGCCAATGGCGTTTCACGGCACAACCTTGAAGTAACACAGTTCCTGAATGATAATCATATCGACATTATGCTACTGGTAGAGACGCACCTCACAAACAAATACAACTTTCAAATAAGAGGCTACACTTTCTACCGCACAGACCATCCAGATGGTAAAGCCCACGGCGGAACCGGCATTCTAATTAGGAAACGCATCAAACACCACTTTCACCAAAGGCTTGCAACTAATTACTTGCAAGCCACGTCTATTAAAGTGCAGTCAGGCAACGGAAACCTCACCATAGCCGCTGACTACTGCCCGCCTCGCTTTACAATTTCTGAAGGACAATGGATGGACTTCTACAACTTGCTTGGAGATCGCTTTATAGCTGCAGGGATTATAATGCCAAGCACACGCACTGGGGATCACGCCTCGTGACTCCCAAAGGAAGGCAATTATATAATGCAATCATAAAACCGAGCAACAAATTAAACTATGTTTCCCTTGCAGGCTCACATACTGGCCAACAGACCCCAGGAAAGTTCCAGACGTAGTAGACTTTGCGGCGACAAAAAACATTCCACACAATATAATAAGCGCTTTCGGACCTCTTATTTGACTATTCGCCAGTGCTAATAACTCTTTTTCAAAGCCCAAAAACTACGGATCACCCCCACAAGCTGACGTCGCACAGAACCAAATGATTAAAATAAAAAAAGTATGTAAGTTCACACATCAAATTAGCCACTATCTCAACACCACAAGGAAGGGAGGTGGAGACCAACCACTTTAAAACTAATCTGCAAATTGAACGGCTTGTCCTAGAAGAGAGGCGCCTGCGACGTGCCTGGCAAACCAACAGATCGCCGTCAGCTAAACAACGTCTTAGGGAAGCCACTCGTACACTAAACCGAGCTCTAAAGCAAGCAGAAAATGAGCAACTGCGGTACATGAAAAACTTACGCCAAACAGTACAAAACATGCTCAGCGTGCTTAATCGAAAATCCTGCGAACTATCACTGGGGCACCATGGTATATTCGCAACCAAAACATCTACTGGGACCTAGCCACTCTTGCTGTTAAAGATTAAATAGAAAAAAAAACGCCCTACAATGAAAAACCTTTTGCTAAGCTATTTCCCAGAAAAGATTTAAAAAGGGGTATGTTCGTAACCAAGGTAACTCGGATCGATCTAGCATGGTTACGAACACGGGTCAAACGCACGCAATCTACAACACGACGGAGTTGCAAGTGGTCAGCGAGCCGAACATACGACCAATGCAACTTATACGGAACAGCGACCAGGCGCACAGTGGCAGCACAATACAGTGCCGACGCTG